AAAAAAAAAAAAAAAGCTAACTGTGTAACAGGCCATAAAGGCCCCTAGGTTTGTGAGACGTCAAGGCTCCCACATTTTCTTTGGACAAACAGCTTACAGATGGCAGTAAGATTGTGAGCATTATGCACTGGCCGCCCTTTACCCCTCAGGAAGATTCCTGGATCATAGTGCAGCTGGAAGGATTAGGTAAATTGGAAAAGTCCACTTCATAGTTACTTGAACGCATGACCTTCCGGCTTGTAGCATAGTGCCTCAATCAACTACACTACCATGTGCCCTCACTTGAACAGCTGAATGTCTGTTAAATTAATTAGAGAATTAACTGGCAAGTTATATAAGTAATTTGTCCATCTGATACTTCATGCTGAATGATGCAGCCTCCGTACACATGATTGGAGAGATCTAAGAGAAGGGCATTCGACTTCCAGTGACATGATTTTCATACATTCTGTCCTGAAAATAACTTGTCAGGTTTGAGAGTTATTGGAGAATCATATACACACTTCCTGTTCCTCTCCTTTCAGGAATGCAATGCAATGTAATGTTGTGTAATGATTCACTAAGACTTTATTATACATATTTGATACTTATTGTAGTCTACATTTCATGACTGCAGGTGGTTCTGTAGTATCTACGCGTAATACCAAGGAATATAAGCTGTCATCACCATTTGGAACTTGGGACCGTTCAGCACAGCACATCATTCAGGTGTGTAAACTGTCTGTCTACAGTAGCTGTATGGATGAGAGACATTACCTCTTTCAAAATGGTATTTCACAATTTAACTCTTATGTCAGTCCTTTATATCTAGGTAGGTGGCTGAATGTCAAACAGAAGTTTTAATTCCACAATCTTATTTTCTGTACCCACTGAATACTTATTAATCTGAGAGGTTCATCTCAAGCTAATTGATATTATCAAAAAGTATCTTGTAACGAATGAAAATTCAGGATGAAATTGTAATCAAGAAACCTCAGACAATGCCATGGTTAATTTGTCACGTCTGTTGGCCAATGTCACTTAAGAACTTATGATGCCATGTCTAATGCACCTGATCATGGCCATATAGGCTGAAACATGCATAACAGATGTTCTAAATGCTTCAACCCATCGGAGTATAGTGTTACGATCTGGAATTTTTCCTCGACGGAAGACGCTGGACAATAACTACGAAATCGTTGTTTCTAAGAGCACTGTTCAACAGCAAAACATAATGCTCTACGTTCCAACGCACCATGACTACTGAAATTGCATTGTCTGTGCTGTCTGCCGGCTCACGCCCAAGGTCATCAACCCCACCCTTGCCAAGTACTGGCCATTTGAAAAACATCCATTTCCTCTGCTCCACCCTGTATTTATTCTGCCACAGAATTTCTCCGAGAAACAATTTTTTCATTCTTGTTCTTTGATGGGTTACTGAATATACTGGATAATATTTCTGTCTGAATATTACAGCCTTGTATGATACCTGGTGAGTGCTGGGCATTTGAAGGCTCAGGTACTGCTGTGATTCAACTAATTGGTGAGGTCAACATTACAGCAGTGTCAATTGAGCATGCTTCACCTGACACGTTGCCCCCAGAAGGAATAAAGAGCGCACCAAAGGATTTCTCTGTATGGGTATGTGTTATGTACAGTCTTTATAGTTATATATAAGACCTTCGGCATACAAATGTAGGGTAGAACTTAAGCCAGTTCATATAGAAATGTGATTCAGAAGTAGCATCCAAATTTAATTAAGTCAGGGAACTGAGTCCTTGAGAATCTACCAGTTGTGCAGCTACTCAAGAACCTCCCAAACATTTTATGGAACCCGAAGATTCATTACCATGTTCACAAGAGCTATCCACTGGTCCCTGTCATGAGAGATCAATCCAGCCCATGCCACCCCATCCTATCTAAGATCCATTTTAATACTATCCTCCCACCTATTTTTTTTTTTTTAATTTCTAGTGGGGTGGGACTAAGTCCCTTGTACTGCGGCCACTTCTGGCCTATTGTACCAGCCCCAGATGATAGGTGAGGGTGATTGTGGAGCAATTGGTGGAATGAAGATTGGCAGGGGAAACCGAAGTACTTCGAGAAAACCTGCCCCAGCACCACTTTGTCCACCACAAATCCCACTTGACCAGACACGGGATCGAACCCGGGCCGCCGCGGTGGGAAGCCAGCAACTAACCACTTCAGCTATGGCACGGCCTTCCTCCCACCTATGTGTAGGTTTTACTGGTTTCTTTCCTTCTCTCAACAATGAGTACTACATGGCCTCCCCAGCTCATTATACAGTTTTCTTCAACCTCTCATCATTTGTCTTCGGTCCAAATAATCTCTCTCAGCACCCTATTCTGAAACACCCTCAGCCTGTTTTCCTCCCTTAATATCAGAGGCCAAGCATAAAATCAGTCGATAAATGATATAATGATACAAATTCCGTCCCAAGTGCAAACAATATATTATGTGTCCCTGATCTTGTTCCTCTGCACTATATGTTTCGGCCCCAAACGGCCATCATCAGGTGTATTACACTCACGCTGCTGTCACACTGCACCCAGCCCAAAATTTAACATTTAAAACACTTTCCTTGTTATTATCAACATCCACTTCGTTGATATCTGTCTGGTTTGTAAATTATTTTACACACGTCAGTTTTGACGTACCCGTAGTAGCACTATAAAATCATTAGTTCTAATTTTAAAATCCTTTAATTTTTTTTTCTCTAAATTTTAAATTTAAAATTGTTAGGGTTACTCGCCCTATGTCTAAAGTGCTGCAGCGGCTAGTTCTTGTTTCCACACTGTATAGGTGTTATCCTGTGTAGTCTTCCTGTGTGCGTGACGCGTAGTAAAGAATAACAGTGGCACGCACACAGGAAGACTACACAAAATAACACCTGTACAGTGCTGGAAACAAGAACTAGCCGCTGCAGCACTTTAGACATAGGGTGAGTAACCCTAACAATTTTAAATTTAAAATTTAGAGAAAAAAAAATTAAAGGATTTTAAAATTAGAACTAATGATTTTATAGTGCTACTACGGGTACGTCAAAACTGACGTGTGTAAAATAATTTACAAACCAGACAGATATCAACGAAGTGGATGTTGATAATAACAAGGAAAGTGTTTTAAATGTTAAATTTTGGGCTGGGTGCAGTGTGACAGCAACGTGAGTGTAATACACCTGATGATGGCCGTCTCGGGCCGAAACATGTAGTGCAGAGGAACAAGATCAGGGACACATAATATATTGTTTGCACTTGGGACGGAATTTGTATCATTATATCATTTATCGTATGGAGTGCAACAGGATGCTTAAATATAACATTATAAAATCAGTCATAACCAGATTCTGGGAATATTAAGCATTGTAGTTAATTTAGATAGAAACAAGACCCACATCAGATGTTCTTCATAAGAATTTGTTGATTTTAATTATTACTATATTATATTCAGTAATAATTACTGAACTAATAAACATAATTTATCCACAGGGATTAAATAGCCTTAATGATAAAGGACACTACCTTGGAAGTTTTTCTTATGATATCAGTGGCAGTCCTCTGCAGTACTATACAATTCAGGTAACACACTGAGCAATACAGTAAACTGAATTAATAAGACATTTTTATGTAAGTGATGACATTTTCTGTTTCTAATCTGTACCATTTCTTTTCATATCAGGAACCAGCAGCAATTCCATTTCGCTTAATTGAGCTAAAGATTCACAATAATCACGGTAACCCAAGTTACACTTGCCTTTATCGCTTCAGAGTGCATGGAACTATGGAGCCTCTTGTGCAAGCATGAACATTGTGCAACTGAGTGTAAATAACACTACATTATGCACAAAAGCTACATGTCTATGGCGATAACAAGGAATATGTAATGTCTATAGTGCAATAGAATTTCTTGGACACTGTGACATGGCAGCTGAAAAACTGGAACAGTGCAGCCAGAAAATATGGCTGTTGCTAGGTAATGGCCAATAAGCACATTTCCATGGCAGTGAACATGTGATGCTACAAGAGAAATTGTGGAAATGGAGTTCCCTACTTTGTACCTACAGCATCCAGCCAGTTGGTTCAGAATCAACGTACTCAACAGTGTGTAGAACAGGAAAGGAATATGAGGAAGAAAAAAAAAAGTGTATGCAATGAGACTTCCTGTTGAATTCTCAAGTGGATGTTACACTAGATATTTATTAAAAGAGTTCTGCTTGAATATTTTTGTCTTGCATTTAGTATTTTAAACATTGTTAGCATCTATTGGAGATATTCGTATCATGAATTTATATTCTTTTTAATGTAATTTCCATAAGGACAAACTTCTGCATATTAGGGATGTACACTAGAAACTGTGATGTGAATTTAATCTGGGTTCACTAAATCGAGTATTTTGTTGTGTGGGTAGCATACACAGAAATCAAGTCTTTTTGTACCAAGATTATGATGCATGCAGTTCTTGGGAATCTACTAATAACATGTTTTATTACTCTATATAAAGTGTATAAAAGTAAGTCTTAAGATGTTACAATTCTTACAATAGATCTCTGTAGTAATATAAAATAATGTAGTGCCAAATACAATTTGTGACCAAAGATTTTAAAGACATTTTCTTTGACAAATGAATTAACACACTATTTCAATAGCAAAGAAACCTATAACCCTTAGCAATCCCTTAGGCAAGTTCAGATATATCCAGACTTTATGTGAGGCACAGTATGCTCTCTTGCTCAATTTCTGAGTCTCACTTTGTTCTGGTTAATTTTTGGAGGACAGAACACAGCAAGTATCAAGTTCCATTTCAGACTGAGCAGTACTATGGAATTATATTGATACATGCAGACAGCGTATCATAATCACTAGCATTTCAGTGACATCTTCATTTCTTAGATGTGAGAAAACTTATAACACTGTCAACATATGTTTCTAATGCAAGAACATTATATATGTATTGTTACACGACAGCTGAAAGCCACAGCAGTGCCACATTTCTGCAGCAATGAATCAACATGTAAGGGAAGAGGGTCTGCTGGAACTGGTGTTCTCTGTGCAGTCTGTGCCAAGGCTACATAGTGAGCACCAATGGGAAAAGTTAGTCAGTCTGAGGTCAGAATTGGCAATCGGTAGTTGTGAGTTGCAAGTGGGAAGTGGCAGTGAGAATGTTATAACCATCTGTAGTTATAACTGTCAAGTAAATCCAATTATTAAGCCAAACCCCATGAATAGTCTCTAACATGTGACAATATTCATTAATGAAGCTCTAAAGGTAAAAAAGGTAAAGTTGTCCCTGTACTTAACTAATTAAGCACTATGCCATGAAGGCATATGAGAGAGTGGATGTGTAGACCCATGTTTTCTTGACCATGGCACTGGTTGGAGGCGAGTGGTCAGCTTCACACCCTGGCTGCTTTACACCCGGGGAAAGAGCCCCTGGTACCCACTGGATAGGATGTTGGGTGGACCCCCACAGCCAGTATGGACAACACGAAGTACTGAAAATCTGTGACCCTACTGGGTCTTGAACTCCAACCCCTCAGCTGTCCAGCCGGTAGCCAGTTGTTATACTGACTGCGCTATTCTGGTTAACCTGTGAGGTTATTACTTCTGCAAAACAATACACACACACACTGTTCATCCATCTTTCCACAGTACCCAACTTCATTAAATGAATCTCAGATTCTTCCAAGTGGCATACATTTCCCATAAAGGGCATTACCACACACATATTTAGAAATGTACAACATGGCTGCAATACAAATATTCCAGGAAAACAACTTCAGAGCTGCTAATATAACATTCAGTAATTCTGGCAAACTGTATCAGATAGGAGGTATCCATTTCAATAATGACAAATACTATTTAGCATCAAATGTCTTATATTTTTCCTCATGCCATGCCTAAATGCCATATATATGGTAATAAAACCAAGAAATGAACTACAATATTTACATCTATGGCAAAGAACAAACCCTATATACTGAACTTCTGGTATGTAGAGTTAATCCTTATGTGGACACTGCAAGGCATGATTAAAATTCTTCCAGGCTTAATATTTAGCCTACTTGCCTTCCTTCAGCGAAAAAGGCTTGTTGCCATGGTGTCTGTGTACTTTTTTTTTTTTAATTTGTTATTGAGACTACTGACACTAATTAATGACTATGGAGCAGCTGGTGGAATAAGAATTGGCAGGCAAAACCGAAGGAAAAAAAGCCTACCCCAGTGCCTTCTTTGACATGACCTGGGACTGAACCCTGGCTGCCACAGCCAGAAACTGGCTACTAACTGCCTGGGTTATGGCATGGCCGTTTGTCTGTGTATACTGTGAAAAGCCTCTAATACAATGTATTACTACTACTAGTAGTAGTAGAACTAAAAGCAGCAGTCTCAGGTGACACTGGGCTTGGATGCCTTTACTTACTTCAGCTGTTTACAGAAACTGTTTCTTTAAAAAATCCTAACTTTTGATACCATTCCCAACTTACCAGGAAACAGAAATCTTTTTATGCTATACAACATGTATGCTGATCTCTGAGACAGTGTGGTCTAAGATGTGCAGTTTTCATTGGTATAAATACTGAGGTCATGGGTTCAAATCTCACTTAGGCCAGGAATGTTCATCCATACTGCTTTGTGAAGCTGAAGGCATAACAATGAACCATTCTGCATCAGAGAAGTCCTACCAAAATTTGGAAAACTTCTGCATTTAGAGGAAGCCAAGGCCCATGTTTTGTTGTGGGGTCAAGAACATAACATGCTGCTCTTGTTCACAGGCAATATCTCCTGCCTTCAGGCATTTCCATTCCTATTTAATAATATGGATCATTCTACTGCTATGCAATACTTGGAAAAAATATAATTCTTAGTTCAAGTAGAAAGTTTAATTTATTGACTCCAATTCTGGTGGTATTGGTATCTTCTTTAGAGCTGCAAATTTTTTCAGGGCTTCATATTTGGCATACAGTGCTTCAACTTCGTCTTTCATCCTGTTGTTATCGTCCTGCATGGCTTCCATGTCCCGATACTCTTGTGACTTCTCCGTCTCCAGTTCATCCTTCTGTTCGATTCGCTTTATACGACAGCTGAAAACATGACAACATGACAATTCTACTTATCGAGAATTTCACGACAATTTTCTTGAATGGCACTTTGTTTTCAAATATTGTATTTTAAACCAGTGATATTCATTTAAATGAATTATTAAGTTTTTATTTGCCCACACAAAAATCTGATGATAAACAGAGTAAATAAGGATTTGGAAGTCATACCCTACTTCAGGGTAGTATTGCAGCATTTGCCTGAAGAAAACTATGAAAACCTCAGTTAGGATAATCTGTAACCCTGCTGAGGTGTTAACTAAGTACTTCAGGTAAAAGTAAAGCTATCCCTGTAACAGGCCATAGAGGCCCATAGGATTGTGAGATGTCGATGCTCCCGCATTTTCTAGACAATCTGCTCACGGATGGCGGAGGGGTTGTCAGCCTTACGCGCCAGGTGCGCTTTACCCCCCAGGAAGATTCCTGATACTCATTCCTGTTAGAGGCTGAGTTGACCCCAGGGTCATAGTGCGGCTGGAAGGATTAGGTAAATGGAAAAAAAAAAATCCACCTCATCAGCATTCGATCCTGCAACCTTCTGGATTGTAGCATAGTGCCTCAACCAACTAAGCTACCGCATGCCCCTAGTACCTCGTGTATAAAAGCCTAAAGATGGAAAGCAAAAATCCCACATGAATGCTCACCCAGACAAGTAAAAATGTAATCGGAATCCTACAATACTCAAATGCACAAAACATACAAATGCCAATTCCTCGATGTTTCCAAATACCATAAAGAAAACAGAAAATGGGGTGAGTTTTGATCCAAAATAATATCTGTGAAATACTAACAATTCCATTCATGGAACAGATACAGTGAGCACCACTGACAGAATGTCAAGGCTTTAAGGTTTAGATAATCATCATGAATACATCATACAGATTAAAGAGGATCTCCTTGAGGTGGGCTGGTAGGTTACTGAATTTTGGTAACCGGTATATGATTGGATCCTAGACATTTTGGCTTGCTTCTCTGACAATGTTCCCTTTCTTGCTTTACTTTTTAAATTAATTTTCAGAGGTCTGTATATTTAGTATGCCAGTAACCAACAAAGACTGTGCTAATGGACCTACATACTGTCTCGTATTGGGTGTATAACGCGACAAATAACTTCACGCCGTATTTGATATAGCGAATTTTATTTCACATTCGCACTTACAATCACCCAAATTACAGATTCACAATTACTGCTATCTGCAGTATCACAAATACTACACTCCAAATGCCAGAATACAACTGACTGGTTGCTGGCTAACTCGGAGGTAGCTCGAGGACTAACTGTGCATAGCCTTCACTGCTCCTTATGTAGCCCCGTTCGGACAATACAGAAAACGGCCACATAATAGGCACCACTGTTGTCTGGTGCCGTCGTGCTAGTAACGCTGTGTACCGCTGTTACTACCGTCATCTC